CCGCCCAGAGTGATAGGATTACAGGTGTGAGCACCGTGCCCAGCCTTGATGTCATTTTTCCTGAATTCAAGGTTTGGTCTCACAGCAAGAGTCCTGATGATATGCTTCAGTAAATTTTTCTTGCCCTTGTTATTTTACACATTAATAATTGTTAAATGGTTGCAACTTCACCCTCTTCTATTGTAATGGCCAGTCACGTCACCCACAATACCCAAAATAAATTCATGATAGTGTCATGAAAAACAAGAAGAAAGCTTATTACTTCTCAAACTTCCACAGCTTAAGGTTTAGTAATGTGGGTCCACCTAAAAAGATGTGAACTCAATTTTCCGATTACTCCAATCAATGAAAGAGAACTATTCTTTTATCTGGGTGATTATGTTAATAATGCTCAAGGGGGAATAAGCAAGTGTTTGTTATCCTGGCATATATCCTGGAATATGTATGACAAAAAAAAAAAATCAAGAGTAGGATGGACAGAGCAATCATAAAACCTGGGCTCACGGGCTCGGCGCCTGTGGCTCAATCGGCTAAGGCGCCAGCCACGTACACCTAAGGTGGCGAGTTCGAATCCTCAGCCCGGGCCCGCCAAACAACAATGATGGCTGCAACCAAAAAATGGCCAGGCGTTGTGGCGGGCGCCTGTGGTCCCAGCTACTTGGGAGGCAGAGGCAGGAGACTCGCTTGAGCCCAGGAGTTGGAGGTTGCTGTGAGCAGTGAAGCCATAGCACTCTACCCAGGGGGACAGCTTGAGGCTCTGTCTCAAAAAAAAAAAAAAAAAAAAACCTGGGCTCACGACTTACGTGATATTTACAGTGAAAACCATCATTGCCAGGAGGATAAAAATGCTACCACTTTGGCAACCTTACACCACCCGGATATTCGCAGATCCCCACACTCCTCTGTTTATCTGACAAATCTTCCCCCCACCCAACCCCACTACACAATCCCCCTCACTCGTTTCTCTGGAATCATTCCCTTATAAGGAGCCCTTGCAGCTCTAGTGTCTTCACTGAATATTGTTGCCACTTCCTGGGCTTCAGTAAAATTCCCATGAGGACATTTCTTGCCCTGCACAAAAGGCTGCACATTCTCCCACATTCCACAGACTTCTAAAAAGGGTCAGAAGACACTGTCCCAGCCTCTCCACTTCCGCACCATTGTTTCTTCTCATCTCATACAAAACTCCCTTACTACTAAAATTTATAAATCCAGGTATCTTAACTTTCACCATTCTGTGTGGCCATGATGTAGTCAATGTCCCAGTCTCCCTGTTTTCCTTTTATCTTGTCCTACGTTTATCCTGGATGACATCAGTGTTCCGAAGGCCTACCTGGCTATGTTCCTACATGGCCTACTCAGTTTTGGCCATTTGCTTCTAGGGTTACACATCAGTTTCTTTCACAACCCAGAATTTTGTTGTTCTAAATTCCCATTTTCCTTTCTAAGAACCTCCTCCATCCTTATGACTTTATTCCTTGTATTTGCACAAGATTACAATGCCTGGCCCACCCTTGCTCTGGCAGATAGCAAGCTTACCAGACTTCATACCTCCTTCCCCAGCCTTTCTAGCCCCTAAGGTGCATCCTCACAACTGTTCTCACCAGGACCATTAATTCCCCCAGCCACTCATCCTTCAGCCACACCTGCTTGACAAGCCTCCAGCTGAGGACAAGGACTCTTAAACCACTCATCTGCTCTGCTATTTGTGGCTATGTGTTAGATCAGAGAAAATCATAAAATCAAGGGAAGACTTCAGGTATTTGTGGTCTACTACCCTCAGCAGTGTCCTCATTCCCAAAACCTAGAGTGGCTATTCCACTATTCTCAATTTACTTCTAGACAACTCTTCCCACCCCAAATAACTTCATGCTTCCCAAGTTCATGATATCAGACGTTTTCTTCAGCTTCCCACCACTGTTTTCCGTTACCCAAAGACACCTAACCTCTCTCTTCTTGGTCAGATGAAATGTTGCCACTCTTCCCAAAGGCTCCTAAGGCTTCTGTGTTCCCAGTCCCCTTCCACGTTTCCATGTGATCAGCAAAGTTGATCATTCCCTTCTATCATATTATCTAATATATACACCTATCACTGAACATCCTTATGTGAAAACTGATTTTCTTGTCTGCCTTCCATTATTAATAAACTTAAACATCACTATATTACCTGGCATCCAAGAAATGTCCATAATCTGGTACCCAGCACTGTCTGGCACATAATTTTCCATTAAATAGAAATGAGGGGGTCGAGAGGCAGCGGCAGTGGTGATGACAGGGAGGGGAAGGAAAGGAGAGTTGCAGAATAAGAAGATGGAAATCAGAGTAAATAGGATGCTGAGGAATATTCCCATCATGCTTATTGCTATTAATTGTCCTCCTCTACTGGTCAAGCATCTGCATTTCTTTTCCAGTATCTCAAGTTGACTCACTCATCTTTTCCTATGCCATCCTTTCCACAAATCTTTTAATTTCCCAAATGTAAAGAATTAAAAGGCCATTCTTTAATAGCTATGCATTTCCTAATATCACTAAGCAAAGATGGTATCCCTCATCTTACATAATCCATAATACCTAGGATGCTAATAATTCATCTTTCTCTCCCCTATGAATGTGACACCAAAGAACAGCTAGAATGAGTAGGAGCATGTTGAACTGAAGGGTTTTTTCCCCACTCATACAACCATATCTGCAAGTGGAGTATGAGTGTATGTGTGTCTGTGTGTGTGGGGGGGGTGTCTTCACAATTCCATTAGCCAAAATTAGTTTTTCTTTCTTATATCCATTCAGTTATTTAACCACCTTAGCATCTGGTCCTCCTGTGATACTCCCTTAGGATATAACCAAGACAGGTCAAGCTAGAAGGGAGCATCATATCAGTTTATAAGATTGCAATTCTACTTTTCAATTCTAGAGCCAAGTTAGGGCCATTCTGAAATATCTCTGTGCCCATGCCACCCACTTTTGTTCTTAGCTGTTGAGTGATCTTATCAGAATATCTGCTAGCTGCTACATGCAGTGCCTTGCTCCTGTAATCCTAGTACTTGGGAGGCCAAGGTAGGAGGATTGGTTGAGGCCAGGAACTCGAGACCAGCCTGAACAGCATAAAGAGGTCCTGTCTCTTAAAAAAAAAAAAAAATTGCTAGCCAAAAGAAGAGTTATCTTCAAGATCCTAAGAAAAAAATAGTGAGATGGTAGTTTCCCCACTTTTCCTTCACCAAGAACCTCCAGTTAGGTTGAATCCCTTTAAAAAGCAAACAAACATAATACACAGATTTTCTTGCTCTTCTTCTAACATACCAACCTTGTTCTCACCTCCAGGCACTGTCCTTGCTGCCACAGTAACATGGAATTCTCCCCAAAGCTATTTGTATGACTCAGTCCTTGTCTGCTCTTTGCTAAAAATCACTTCCTCCAAGATGACTTTAGATGCGTCATTCCTACCATTTTGTTTTCCTGCCATGATTTGTTTTCTATTTACTGTACTTATCACTACTACCAGGAAACACTGTATGTATATTTATTTAAGACATGTTTTGCACCACCTGCTCCCCAGCATTAGAGCTCTGTATGCAGCAGTGCCTATGGCTCAGTGAGTAGGGCGCCAGCCCCATATACTGAGGGTGGCGGGTTCGAACCCAGCCACTCAGGAGGCTGAGACAAGAGAATCACCTATGCCCAAGAGCTGGAGGTTGCTGTGAGCTGTAATGTCACGGCACTCTACCAAGGGCAACAAAGTGAGACTCTGTCTCTAAAAAAAAATAAAAAGCTTTGTATGGTAGGACCTTTACGTTTCTCAGTCACTGCTATACCCCCAATACCTAATATAGTCCCTAGTAATCAATATATATTTGCTGAATGCTTGATTAAACTCAGACTGAATGCTAAATAAAACATTAAAAAAAAGTATACACAACAAAATACTAAAGAACACAATGGTTAATATAAACATAAAAGTAGTCACCTTGTGTCCGAACATACACATCTACACTTCATAACGCTTCCTTTGCTGAAAATATTTTGGGAACTCTTCTTCATGAATTGCTTTCAGAGCCAGTTTGCAAACATGATTGGTCTTTTTACTTCATAAGTCATATTTTTGTTCCACCAAAAGGTTCACAGTGTAAGAAACCAAACCCAGCACAGAAAACACATGACAATATATTTTAGGCTCTCCAAGACAAAGCCTCAGAAGTTTAGATGACTAAAGACATCAATGAACTAAGTATATCACCTCCCAAGAATGATAACTTAAAAGGTTAATGCTCATAAACATGAAGATTCTGGAAAATGCAATTTAAAACACACATTTTGGATATAAATTTTCTGAAGACAAAGCAATAAATTCTCATATTTTACTTCTTCTAACTCCAAACATAATGCAACATGAGTTGCAACTATACCACACCTACAGATGTTTAGTTGAAGATTTGCCCATTTTCTTAGTAACTTGGTTGAAACACCTGCCTGTATTCTGTAGCCCACATGGAATTTCCACAAACTTCTACTAAGCCAGCCCCGCACTATCTCTTTCATGAATGTGGGCACTCTACAGACTTTGTCTTACAATGTATTACTTCAAATACCTAAGAGTAAAAAGAAAAATCCCTGGAAACAAAAGAAGTGACAAAAAAGAAAAAGTGACAGCAAAACCCTGAGTCTCAGAATAGTAGCTTATGCAAGAGCATATTGTACATGTCATGGGGTAAATCAGACCAGCTGAATCCCTATCTTAGAAAAGCTTTCTCCTAGTAGACAATAAAGAGAACCTCACTCAGGACTTTAACTGACATTTTTCTCATGTATTCAACACTATTAGCCAACTGAATTAAAAGAAAATGGGTGCTGGCAGGCAACTCTACTGATCTGCCTTTCTTTAGCAATAATTACCGACCAGGGCTAAAGACACTGAGAAGAACTGGAAGGAAAGCAGATGCACCAAAGGCACTGTGTCAAGTAATATATGAGATGTGTTCAGAAATGAATGAGTTATTCCAGAGCCATACAAACAAGTCAATCTCTTTACTGGAGAGGCATACCCCTCATATGTATGTTATTCAAATATACTAACACATGAAAGATCACATCACCTTGTTTATGGATACATTTAATATCCCTTACCCTTCCCGACTTTCAAAACATAATAGTATACAAAATATAAAATATCTTAAATATTTATAAAAATCGCAAGAAAAAAATAGAACGTATGAAAATATCTTTATCTGAGTTCTCCCTCATTGTTGAGAGGCAGCTTAGTTTGCCTTGAGTTCATAACTGTTGAGTGGGTAGGAGTATGCCCTGCCTAATACTATTCTGTCCCGGAGGAGCTTAAATAAAACATAGTAGTTGCAGAAGAGGATGAGAGCCATGGAAAGTGTGTGGTTCCACTTCTCTGACCGCAGCAAGGAATAGAGTTGGTAGAAGACGACACTGCCCTCAATAAGGATAAGCAGATTTAACAGCCTTAATGGTCGATGAAATAGGAACTGTAAGGAAAAAGCAAAACGTTATTTCATAGAAAAGACTATAGTTATTCTTACATCATTTTTCTACAATAATTTCATATTTACAGGTTCCCATGTGTAATAACAAATAGTTCTGCTTACTGAATCTCAATCAGGCTAATTTTAGCTATAGAGATCCAAACTTTTTCCTTTTTGTGCACGGAATGATAAAATCAATTTTATTTCAGTGCCCCCGAGACATAAAAAGAGATTATGCTGAAAAGAATATTGACCTAAAAAGATTTTTCTTAGATTATATCTTAGGTACATATTTTATTTAAGATAACCAAAAGTTGGGCGGTGCTTGTGGCTCAGTGAGTGGGGTGCCAGCCTCATATACTGAGGGTGGCGTGTTCAACTCTGGCCCCGGCCAAACTGCAACAAAAAATAGCTGGGCACTGTGGCAGGTGTCTGTAGTCCCAGCTACTTGGGAGGCTAAGACAAGAGAATTGCCTAAGCCCAAGAGCTGGAGGTTGCCGTGAACCGTGATGCCACAGCCCTCTACCGAGGGTGACAGAGCGAGACTCGGTCTCTAAAAGAAAAAAAAAAAGAAAAGATAACCTAAAGTACATTTATCTAAGACAGAGGTTGAATAAAGGACCAAATGGGAAATATTTTAGGTTCTGCAAATTAAGAGGCAAAAACTAAGGATATTATGTAGATAGGTACTTATATAAAACTTACAACCATTTAAAAAAGTAAAAACCATTCTTCACTTCTGGGTTAAGACATAAACATCAACATTCAGACAAGTTTGGGGAAACAGGGAAGTTACAAGTTGAATAGCAATAAAATTGTTTCTTAATTTATCATTAAACTCTTTACCCACCATGGTCACTGACCAAAATCATCCTCTATACCACATACTTCTGCTGCTTATTTACTTATTTTTTTCTGAATATTGAGAACTAGGGTACGCAAAGACAAGATAAAGAAAGGAAAAATGAGTCAGAATTACACAGACTATTTTCACTCCCACCAAATTCTTCATTTTAAGAGGCTAAATCCTGGTTTACTAATAAAAAACTACTATGAATAGAAGATATAGGCCATAGGTTGCAAAGGAACATTATCTAGCAATTCAGCTTAACCAATTCAGCTTAATCTTACAATTCAGTCTAGTCCTAAATTTAGATGAAGACAGACTGCAATAATGTCAGTGTTTCAGATTTAAAAGAATTAATTTAGATGGAATTTAGATCTCAGAGCTTATATCTGAGAACAAAGACAAATTATCATGACAGCTCTAAAAGGTGCGCCGGGTTCAGGAAGAAGAAAATGTTTAATCCAGAGGCTAACAGCTATAGGTAAAAGGCACATTTCAAATGCATGTTCTCAAACTTCAAGGTGCCAAATAATCATTTTCAAATATGTAAATACTGAAAATTCCTGGAATCATACAGAGATTTTCGTTCAGAAGGCTGGGACCCAAGCCCCAAATCATTGTTTTTCAAGAGTGGGCCAGGTGATTTTTATGTAGATAGCCAAATGACCACCTTGAGAAACACCAATTTAACTATCTATGCATCATGTAAATCAGGAATACGTTAACTTGCTTAATCTTTCTTCTACAGATTTCACCTGATTCTTCAGCTGTCCAGCGTTGACAAGGAAAATACTTACTTTTCAAGCAGAAAATTCTAATGAAATACTTGGCTATTACAGGTAGGTTTTAAGGGGACTGTGGGGACCAACAAAAAAGTCCTTAATGACCTAAAGAATTCAGCTGGCTGAATTAAATATTCTATGTAGAAATCAACTGCTTATGTAGTTGTTACTTAAGTCCATTCTTCCATCTTAAGGAAATTCCACTGGAGTCAAAGAGATGCTTACAGTTTTCTCATTCAAGAACTTTCCCTCCCCATATTCCTCCCAATGCCCACCTTCCCTTGCGATGGCATTTATTATTATTACTGGGAAGCATTACCAAGTTCCCAGTATTTAATTGAAAGGTCCCTTAGTGACAAACACCCACAGACCCAGAAAGTCCATGCACCCTCACAAAGAACGGGGAGAGACAGAGGGCAAAAAGGATGCAAGTGTCTCAAAAAAAGATGTTCAATTCTTTTTTTAGAAAATGATCTCCATTTAAAGGCAATGCACTGCACTATGGACATATTTACTGAGAACAGTCCCCTGTATGTGCATCTTCTCTTCCCCACTCCCATTGGTCTGTTGGCCTTTTTTTTTTTTATTTTTTTTTTTGAGACAGAGTCCTACTGTGTCACCCTCAGTAGAGGGCTATGGTGTTGCTGCTCACAGCAGCCTCCAATTTGTGAGCTTAAGCGATTCTCTTGCCTCAGCCTCCCAAGTAGTTGAGACTACAAGTGCCCGCCACAACGGCCAGCTATTTTTAGTCATACTTGTCATTGTTGTTTAGCAGGCCCAGGCCAGGTTTGAACCATCAGCCCCAGTGTATGTGGCCTGCGCCCTAACCACTGAGCTATGGGTGCTGAGCCTGGCCTTTCTTTTACAAGTAAATACTTCTGCCTCCAGAATTTCTGGAAAACTTTCTGAAAGACCAACCTGAACAAAAACCAAGGCATGAGTTCAAATGGGACAGAAGCTGGATTTAGTAGGTACTTATTGCTTTTTCCTTTTCTAACTTTTAAGCCTTTTTTCCTTTTAATCCAGGTAAAAGGCCACAGCTCAGGGTATTTCCCTGTTTTCCAAAGGGAAAGTTAAGGTATTTTAAGGAGATAATATTTATAACAAATGCCAAAAAGTAAAACCACACTATCACTATATTAAATATCACTTAAGGACACAGAGATACTATATGCCTTAAGATACCCCTAAACCAAAGTACTACAAAATAAAAACTGTAAGATAAAAAACAAAGTCTTAGGTAATTGCCTACTTATTTCACATAATACTAGATTCAACAAATTCCAATGTGACTAAATGAATCAGTCAAGCTACTGAAACTGGAATAATGATATATGACCTTTTAACTGCCTTTCAGAAGACATTTCCAAAGGACAGGGGCTACTGTTATAGTACTAGCAATAACTGCCATGAATTACTTTCCTAATATGTGCTATACTCTGTGCTAGGTGCATACACATACACTGGCCTCCTAACACTTACCCCTATGCTTATGTTTGAAAATAAGTAAGCGGTACTTGCATAAAAGCGGGCATGGGATACATCTGAAGGCACTGCCACGTTGTAAGGCCCCATGGCTCTATATAAACATCTGCTGTGCCGCACCAGCACCCCTTGAGGCCATATTGTATTTTCTGACCAACTAAGGGAAAAAGAAATGCAGTGTTAGCATATTGTCAATTACAGATAAGATAGTATCTGGCAAGACCAGCTATATTTCTATGAAGGGACTGAATACTCAAGGCTTCATCTGTCTGAATTCTGAAAATATAGTAATTCCATGGTCAAACTGGAAATAGTTAAGAAACAATTTGTTATTATAACTTTATTACTATATAGTACAGAGGCTACAAAACGATATAGTTAACTCAAGTGTTGAAGACTTAAGAGACTTAGAAGAATAAGCAAATATAAATGCATAGGTAAGGCATCTAATGAGCCAGAAAATAGAGTGTAAGTAGGTGGATTGTCATCGTCATCTCAGGTAAGCAGAGTCTACTGGCGGAAATGCAAAAGGGAATACACAAGAAGAGAAAACTGATGGAAATCAGAGTAGGAGGGAAATTAACACACTGTCAAACTAGCAGGACATGTGCTGCAGAATTATATCCCCCAAAGCAACAGAAAATCAGTTTGCTTATCACAGAGTTCAAACACCTCACAAATGTGAGAAGATAGACAGGAGAACACAGAGAAACACAACATATAAACAGACTTTTCTTTTTACCACTTTCTTGATCTATTTTTACAGAGGTTTCTCTAGGGAAAAGAAGTTAAGGAAGAAGCAGTTTCATTCTTTCCAGCATCAACGTAATGGAGCTGGGGTGGGGTTGGGGATCTTCAGGTTAAGCTTTTAAAAAAAAAAAACTAAGTGAATTCATTTCTTCCTCATTTTGAAAGGTTAGTTTCCTAGGGTAAGAACTGGGACAGCAGTTTAGATTTGTTAAAAAAAAAAAAAAAAAAATTCTAGCACCCTGAAGCTTTCCCAGTTCAGAAAATGTTCCACCGGCCTTGCTCACACTTACCAGCATCAAAGTGATGATACACCTCATGGCCATGTGCCATCAGTAGCCTGAAGATGTACAGTACTAGTACTGTGGATTGTATTTTCAATTTTTATTGAAATCTGTCCTTTGCCCACAGTCGGGTTTCTTTTCAGCCTGGCCCAATCTCTTTCAGTTCCTGGGCTTGAAGGCCTGTGCTAATCTGTATCAGACATCAAGGCAGATAATTGAAGGGAGAACTCTGAGGGGAAGAGGGGAAGGGAAAGTCACCTCAATCTCTCCCACTTAATTAGGAAAAAATTTCTAGGAGATGAAATTTGTGAAACGTTCAAATTATAAAAGGGGAGAAGATGAAGATGTTCGGGTCTGAGAGCAAAGTATGATGACAGGCTCAGAAGTGAAAAAACAAAAAGGTTCAAAAGTTAGCTCCTGGATAACAGGCCATGCAGAGAAATGACAAATAAGGGGATATAATGAGAAGGATACTTTGAGAGAACTCACAGTCAGAGACAGTTCTCATTTGAATACGGGAGAAACAGGGAAATATCTGGTAAGAAAAGAAAAAAATAGCAAAAAGTATAGGCAAGGAAAATTACTAGAACAAATCTGCATGTATTAGAAAACAAATGAGAGAAGCAAATTCCAGCTGTCTAAGATGAGTTGCTAGCAACTATTTAGCTGTGGAAAAGAAGATGAGAAAATAAATATTAAAGTGTTCTAAAAAGAATTCAAAATATATCAAGACTCTCTAAAGTTGGGCAAAAGGGTAAGACTCAAAGAGAATTCCAAGGTACAGCTTGGGAGACAAATTATATACTCTAAAGTGACTGGGCAGCTGAAAAGTAGAAGGCATTTAAGGAAGTGCTGGGGGTGGTGGTGGAAATGAGTTAATATCCCCTGCGTTCGGTTTAGCATGATGACAAGCATCCATGTAGACAAAAACTAAAAATTAAATGTTCAAAGCCAAGAACAAGAATGACATAAAGAGCAAATAAACATGATCAGCAGCATGTAGAAAAGTGTTACGTGATTTTACCCTTTATCCTACTCACATGTGCTGTGGAGCATTGCTGTAGGACCCATGTTCAAGCTTCTGCCACTTGCCCAGGTGAGCAGCTGATTTATGTAGCAAGTCACAGTATTTGGATGGCAGCAGTTGCGTGGTGAGCATGACAAAAGCATTGATCCATACCATAATGAGGTGTTCGCATGACCAGCGCATATCATAGTACTGGGTACTCTGGAAGAAATCAGAAGAGACAGAAATGATCTGTGCCCTGGCAAACAGAGGCACGAATGGGTGCGTGTACATATGCCCTGCAGACAAATGCCACACTGAGTCACACATGCACTGGTTGTCCTCCTGTCCGTGCAGAAAGTTCAAGAGCAGAGTCCTCCAAAATCCTTCAACCTGACTCTCTGGCTGTATGAGTTAGGGCTGGGAGGGAGAGGCAATTATATTTTAAGTGTTTCCTTTCTAGAAGAACTGAGTGCTCTCTGAAGGGCCACTCCGGCTGCAGAAGTACTTCTGAATGAGTGAAAGAGGAAGGGCACTAAAATGTCCCAAAAGATTTTGGGCCCAAGTGACATCCAGATCATTTTTCTTTTCTATTGAAGTAAACTGAAGTTTAGATAAAGGTTAGTTTAAATTCAAGGAAACTCCCGATAAGCATGTCAAGATTAACCATAGCAAGCTGAATTCTTTTGAAACTTTGGTCTTTTTAAGCTACCAGATACTGATTCTGTTACAAGTATGTTTGTATTTTCCCCAGAAAATAAAAAAAATTTTAAAAAGGAAAGAAAAGAAAAAGAAAGAAAAGAAAAAATAGGGGAGGGGAGGGACCACCACGGGTGCATCACATATATGAAAATACCTATCCGCCAACCAGGAGCGGTATTAGTGCACTCCAGATGCAGCCGAACTCCACCATCCAGGCTGCCAAAGGGGAGACAGAGAAAAGGGGGATTAAACAAGAAATACCCAGTGTATATAATTCACACACAAATCCAGGAGGCACATAAAAGCAAGATAACCACTTACCTTCACAAAACACAGGGGGAGAAATGCAACATAGTAGGCACTGAAGAGGGAGTTGAAGAGAACTTCTTTGATTCTGTGGTTGAAATCTGCTTTTAGACATTCTACTTCATTGCGAATGAGGTCTGGAGACAAAGGGCAGCTGTGGGTGGGGATGGGCGTGGCATTATTAAATTGCTCTTTTAGAGACTCCAGCAATAAGGAGAGAAAGTCTTTGGATTTGGCCAAGCCACCCACAGTTGAGGAACCTTCCTCTACCGCCTGGTGCTGGACCATATAGTTATAGTCTGTGAGAAGAAGATGAGCTCTACTATCTTGATGAAAACAGCAGAGGGGAACATAAACACCAAACCTGTAAAACAAGTTGAATATGAAAATGAGAACCTAGATACCACTTAGTATCAAATCTTATAACTATGTCAACAAAATGGTCCACTAGAATAGACTTACACTCAAATTCTTGGACTCAAGCTATCCTTCCTGCCTCAGCCTTCCACGTAGCTGGGACTACAGGTGCCCAGCTACATTTTCTATTTTTAGTAGAGATGGGGTCTCAATCTTGCTCAGGGTGGTCTCAAACTCCTGAGTCAAGGACTCCACCTGCCTTGGCCTCCTAGTGCTAGGATTATAGGTGTGAGCCTCCGTACCCAGCCTCAAAAGGTTTCCAACTGACTTTTCCCAGATCCACCAAAGAAATCACTGTTTATGGTAGCTATATAGCCTTACAATATGTATGTCTTAAATACTAAGTACTGAAAGTGAAAATTACTACTTGATCTGTGGGTTGCAAAATGGGTAGTGTGTTATTTGGCATGAAAAAGCACTAATCTTGTACATCTCCATTAGAGCCTTTGGGTGACTAGTTACATTTATTAGTGAGTAGTATAATATATTGAAAGGAATCTTCTTTTCTGAGCAGTAGGTCCCAACAGTAGTCTTGAAATATTTGGTAAAATTATGTTATAAAGAGATGTACTGTCATTCAAGGCTTTGTTGTTGTTTATTTATAGAGCACAGGCAAAGTAGATTTAACATAATTATTTAACATAATTTAACATAATTCCTAGGGACCTAGGAATTTTAAGTCACCAGCAGCATTAGCCGTTAACAAGAGTCAGCCAATATTCTTTGAAGCTAGGCCTTGACTTCTCCTCTCTAGCTAAGAAAGTCTTAGATGGCATCTTCTTCCAATATACAGTTGTTTCATATCCATTAAAAATCTATTGTTCAACATTAATAATCTTAGTTAGATCTTCTGGATACTTACTTCACCTTGTACTTTGTTATGGGACAGTTTCTTTCCTTAAACCTCATGAACCAACCTCTGCTAGCTTCAGACTTTTCTTCTACAGCAGTGGTTCTCAACCTTCCTAATGCTACAGCCCTTTAATACATTTCCCATGGGTCCTGACCCATAGGTTGAGAACTGCTGTTCTACAGCTTTATCACCTCTCTTAGCCTTCATAGAATTAAAGAAAAATAGGACCCTGTTCTGGATTAGGCTTTGGCTTAAGGAAATGTTGTGGATGGTTTGATGTCCAAACCACTGAAACTTTCTGTATACTAGCAATAAGTCTCTTTCTCTTTCTTGACATTCATGTGTACACTGGAGTAGTATTCTTAATTTCCTTCAAGAACACTTTCTTTGCATTCACAACTTGGCTAACTGTTTGGCCTGGCCCACCTGGGCTTTTGATATGCTTTCTACACCAAATTTAATCACGTCCAGCTTTTCATGTAAAGTGAGCACATGCCGTTGGGAAAACAATGCTGATAGACTTGCTTGGTGTGGGGTTGCCACAAACATTTAGTTTGTAAAAAGGCACTGTGAAGCACAATAAAACAAAGTGCAATAAAATGAGGCATGCCTATATTTACCCTTTTTACTTTTTACAAGAGTGTACAAAAAAAAAAAAGAGTATACAGACTGTATGACTCTATTTACATAAAGTTTAGAACAGGCAAACTAACCTGTGGCAGAAAATAATCCAAACAGTTGTCACCTCGGGGGAGATAAATGTGGGGGTTTGATGGAAAAGTGGAATGAAGAAATCTGAAGTAGTAGTAATGTTCTGTATCTTGACAGAGGTTTAAGTTAAACAGGTACATTTACATTTATCAAAACTCAGCCAATTTACACAGGACTTGTGAATTTTATTGCTTATGAATTTTAATCTCAAAAGAAAAAACTATAGACAAATATCAAGCTCTAGTTAATGCATATGCTGAATTATTTGGAGGAAGTAAACCAATGTCTGAAATTTAACTTTGAAATGTACCAAAAATAAGATGGACTGATAGAGGGATAGATGATGGATAGACAGATATGTATTATGCAATTATAATAAAACATTAATAGGAAGAATACAGATGGGGATTACACTGGTGTTTAGTGTAATCAACTTTTTTTTTTTTTTT